TGCTTGCTTTATGTGGTTATATTTATCTCCTCAATATATGTTCCATTCTATATGCATCCGAAGAAGTGGGCTGTAGTCCACGAAAGCTTATGCTCTAATAAATTTGTTACTCTCTAAGGTGCCACAAGTACTCCTGTTCTTCTTTTAGCCCTTTGTAGGAGAGGCATCAGAGATAGGTGGAGGTCTCAGATTTTATTCCCATTACCATTAGGGATCTTGAGTTGTTTCCATTTTTAGTGAACAGCTCATGTCCACTGCCAGTTGGTTTTATCAGCCATTTGAGGAGCAGAATATTTGCTTCCTGATATTTGGCACTTTGAAATAAAGGGACATTCATAGATTATAGGACTGGAAGGGACCTCGAGAGGTCATCGAGTCCAGTCCCCTGCCCGCATGGCAGGACCAAATACTGTCTAGACCATCCCTGATAGACATTTATCTAACCTACTCTTAAATATCTCCAGAGACGGAGATTTCGTGATCCTGAGAAGTGTTAAGCACTCCCATTTGCAGTGCTGAGACCCACCCTAGCTAGGTTCTATTCCTAGCTCATCCCCTGTTATATGTTACTATAGCACCCAGATCTCCTAACTGAGATCAGAGCCTCATTGTACTAGGCAGCACATAATGAGAGGCAGCTCCTGCCTCGAAGAGTTTACAGTCTGAATAGAGAAGTCAAACAAAAGGTGGGAGAAAGGAAGTATTATCTCACATAGAAATTTAAGTGACTTGCCCAAGGTCACACAAGGAGTCTGTGGCAGAATGAAACCTAGCTCTCCTGAGTCCCAGTCCAGTGGATTTACTTACCTGGGCTTGAGCTCCCTGCATGCAGGGTGTTCTAGAAACAGTATTATTAAGGCCCCATCCTGTCTCTTTAGGAGGTTTTTAAGCAACTGTTTGTAATTCTGGACAATGTGAACCGGGTATGTGACCGCTTCAAAGGGGACGAAGGGATGGACCCAGAGATAGAAGAACAGTTCTTCCTCTCTGGCACTTGGGCTGAGAGGAAACGGAGGGCACTTCTACTGGACAAAGTAGCCATCTTGCTCAAAGCCAGCACAGCTCAAGGGAAAGATTTAAAGTTCGTTCTGGAATCGTTAAAAGAATGGGGTAAGTTAATGGAGACAGATGGCCTCTGGGATGCTCCAGGGTACAGGCAGCTCTAGAGCCATAGCCCTAAACTTTAGGGATGTCTGGAACCATGCTCTCCACCTGGCCCCTATATTTCTATCATGGGGTCAGTCAAAAACCTGGATCCAAAAGCCTCTGAACTTTGGGGAAGTTTTGAGCTGGATTCCAACTTCATAGTTTGATCCCATTGTGATGTTTGGGTGATCACCCAGGCTGGTAAGGGGTTCGGTCACCACCTTCCGTTATAACCTTGGGGTGATTTAATGCTGTGCTGCTATGGCTCAGATCCCAGACACCAGTAGCTTGCTCACAAGCACAAGGTCTTACCCTGGCTTTCACTGGCCTCCTCCTTCCAGAGTAACACCAACAGTTCTTACAGGCCTGTGTTTCCCCAAATCCATCCTTTCCCCAGACAGTCTAATTTTTCCCCTCTAGTTCATGACCCCCAAAGGCATGAAACTAGACTCCCAATTATCATCTCACTTTGCCACACACACTCCTCACAGTTTGCACACCCAAGAACTGCTTTGGTAAAAACAAACTGCTTTCTATTGTTTATTTAATAGAAAAAACACAGATTCAAAGATGAAATAGTAAGAGAGAGCAAAC